GCAGCTGCAGCGCATCGAAAACACAATCACCAGCTGTGTGCAAACAGCTACAGGAAACAATCCAGTGCTTAACATTCCTACAATCGTTGGTTTAAAAACAAGATTGGCTGATTTGTTTGTGACGCTTTTAAATAGCAAACAGCATAGACTTTAAGATCTGTTCATCCAAATGAAGATCAATTCAAAATGAGGAATCAATATAATTCAGCACAGTCAAGTAACTAGTAAAGCAACACTTTACTTTCAAATTTACAAAGACATATCGGAGTTGCTTTAAAGTAACGCAAGTTACGGTTTTCCCATTAATTGACTGACTCCTGTCTCAGTGTGGAGTGCACATGCACTTCCTCCAGACTGAGGCTTATTCATTTCACTTTGTGTGAAAGGGCCTTTACAGTCACCAAAAATATTACTTGTTTTTTGATATTAAACAACAAATAGCAAGCCCAACCCATGTGACACAAAGTATTGCAAAAGTAACAACGAGTTTTTTTTATGTAGAGCAAGTAATGCAATTAGTTACTTTTTTTATAGAGTAACAATATTGTAACGCATTACTTTTAAAAGCAACTTTCATCAGCACTGAAACGAACCATTGGAGAAACGCGAATGAAGCGTCAAGTGATTTTGGCCCTACAGTTGGCCTAATTGAGGTGCATGAGTAGTTATGGTATGGTAATGAGCAGTGCTCCTGTGCACCTTCTGGAGCTGCAGGGTGACGTGGGATCCGGCCAAGTCAAAGCGCTGCACGGCGTGAGGCAGACAGTAACCCTCGAACACTGGAACACTGTGACTGACGCCGTCCCCAGAGTCCAGCACCACCCCTACACACACAATCAAAACGTAATGTTTGATTAGTAATATGCACTGCTAAGAACTTCATTTGAACAACTTTAAAGATGATTCTCAATATTTTGATATTTTTACACCCTCAGATTTTCAAATAGTTGTATCTCAGCCAAATATTGTCCTATCCTAACAAACCACACATCAGTGGAAAGCTATTTATTCAGTTTTCAGATGTATAAATCTCAATTTCAAAACAAATGGACCCTTATGACTGGTTTTGTGCTCCAGGGTCACATATATGATAAACTAAAAGTTACATTTGACAAGACTAAGACCAAATTAAAAACAGCTGCCAAAATGAACACTATTCCACACAAAGAGCAGTAATAGGCGTGTGAGCGGAGCCGACTGACCGGTGGTTCGTCCCGAGGCGTAGAGCGCCAGAACAGCCTGCAGGGCCACGAAGGCGAGCGGGACACTGAAGGCCTCAAACATCAGCTCCACCGAGCGCTGGCGGTTCTGCAGCGGGTTCATGGCAGCCTCGGTCAGCAGCACCGGATGATCCTCAGGAGACGCACACAGCTGCTGGAACGCGTGATGCCAGATCTACAGCGCACGCACACGCACACGCACACGAGTATCACACTGAGCCACACCAACAAAAA